CACAGGAAATCTCTGCGCCTTCCTCTGTTTAGCTGTGAACCCCAAACTGCTCTTAGAAATTTAACTCTATTCATTAAAGAAACAGGTGCAATTCATCTTAATAATAGACTTTTTAACTCAGTATATCCACAATATTAGGTCAACATGCAATCAATATAACATTATAATGAAATAGTTTACATTCTTTTTTAAAAAATTTATTTATTTAATTTTGGCTGTTGGGTCTTCATTGCTGCACGTGGGCTTTCTCTAGTTACGGTGAGCGGGGGCTACTCTTTGTTGCAGCGTGCCGGCTTCTCATTGCGGTGGGCTCTCTTGTTGCGGAGCACGGGCTCTAGGCGCTTGGGCTTCAGTACTTGTGGCATGCAGGCTCAGTGGTTGTGGCACATGGGCTCAGTAGTTGTGGCGCACGGGCTCAGTAGTTGTGGTGCACGGGCTTAGTTGCTCCGCAGCCTGTAGGATCTTCCCCGACCAGGGCTCGAACCCGTGTCCCCTGCATTGGCAGGTGGATTCCTAACCACTGCACCACCAGGGAAGTCCAAAATAGTTTGCATTCTTTTCTATCTACTAGCGGGGGCTGTGATCCAGAGCAGGCCCAGATCTCTCTGTGGCCTCTGGGGTCGTTCACACCTGCCCCCGTCCACCTTGCCAGCCTCTGGCCCCGTCACCTCTCTCACAGTTCACTGTAGCCACTCTTGCTCCCAACCTGCTCCAAAGCCCTACCTTACACCTGGCTCCAACGCCCACCTGTGGAAGGAGGAATAATACCCCCCAAAGATATCACGTCCTAATCCCTGGAGCCTGTGAATATGTCACGTGGCAAAGGGGACTTTGCAGGTGTGATTAAGATGGGGAGATTGGGAGGGAGTTCCCTGGCGGTCCAGGGGTTAGGACTCCGCACTTTCACTGCCGTGGCCCTAGGGGAGCTAAGATCCCGCAACGCGCGTGGCGAGGCCAAAAAAAAAAAAAAAAAAAAAAAAAAAGATGGGGCAATGGGGAGCTGATGCTAGATTAGCCCTGTGGGCCCTGTGTAATCACAAGGGTCCTCACAGGAGGAGTCCAAGGGAGGTTTGGCTACAAGTGAAAGAGATGTGACAATGGAAACAGAGACTGGAGGATTTGCTTCGAAGATGGAGGATGGGCCACAAGCCACAGAATGCAGGCACCTCTGGAAGCTGGAAAAGGCAAGGAAAGAGATTTTCCCCTGAAGCTTCCAGAAGGTGCAGAAGCCTTGATTTTAGCGCATAAGACCATTTTGGACTTCTGACCGCCAGAACTGTATGATAATGCATGTGCCTTATTTTAAGTCGCTGAGTTTGTGGTCATTTGTTCCAGCCCCCACTGGAAACTCTACGGTCCTCTTTGGTGACGGCCCCCCCAGCCAGCATCGGCCTCCCTCTCCTCGGAGCCTGTCGTCCACCAGGAGCCCCTCAAGGACGGTGGGAGATGAAGAGGGCCTGGGATGGGACGATGGAGGTGTTGGGATGCAATGTAAATGATTTAGGAGGAAGAGTCAGCAGGATGGATTAGCTGGGTAGTGGGGGCAGTATGGGGGCGGGGCAGCCAAGGATGGCCCCTGGCCCCGGGCGGTGTGACGTCCCCCTTAGAGTCTCCCAAGGTTCTCTGGATGTGTCCATCTGTCTGCTCTCTCTGTCCCACGGTGTCTGTCCTACTCACCAGGGGATGAAGTGACTGGCGCATAGTAGGTACTCAATAAACATATGTGGCGGGAATGAACTTGAACAAATAAAGAAATCTGAATTCCCAGTCCCAGTGTGATGCTTAAAGCATAAAAGAGCTGAACAAATGTTGAATGAAAGAGTGAATGAATGAATGAACTGATGTTCCAGTCTCTGGCAGGTGGCCTGGAACTTGGGGCTAATGGCTATCCGAGGAATTGGATTTGCATTGTCCGGCGGAGTGAGGTGTTTCGGACGCTGCCATAGCTGGTGATGTAGTGGCAGGACTTTGCTTTAAACAGATCCCTCCTTCCCTGTCCAGAGAGAAGGGAGAGGGGCCCCTGTCCTCAGGGCCTTTGCACCTGCCCTTCCCTCTACCTGCCATGCTGTGCTAGTTCCTTGGGCTGCCATACAAAGTACCACACACTGGCTGCCTTTAGACGATGGAAATTGTTGTCTGCGGTCTAGAGGCATCCAGGTGCCGGCAGGGATCCAGGTGCCGGCAGGGTTGGTTCCTTCTGGAGGATCTAGGGGAAATCTGCTCCATGCCCCTCTCCAGTCTTCTGGGCGTGGCTGGCAATCCTTGGGGTCCTTGCCTGTCTCCATGGTCACGTGATTCTCCCTGTGTGTCTCTGCCCACATTTCCTTCTTTCAGTGGCACCAGTCATTGGATTGTGGCCCATCCTGCTCTAGTATGACCTCATCTTAACTTAATTCCATCTGCAAAGACCCTGTTTGCAAATCAAGGTCACTTTCACGGGTTCTGGGTAGACATAAGTTTGGGGGAGACATTACTTAAGCCAGTACAGGTGGCTTTCCCGCAGCCAGGCACTTGGCACGTTCTCTTCCTTCCTTCCCGTCTCAGCCCGGACATCACCGGTCTGAGGGCCCTTCCCTGCCGCGCTCTCTGAGACAGCAATGCCCTGCCCCCTCCACCCCCCACCCTGTTTATTCTTCTCACCAGGCCTTGTCTCCTTTGACACGGCTATAGTTTTGCTTATCTATCTATCTATCGCCCTCCTCCCCGGGCCCCACTAGAATGTAGGTGCCCGGGCAGCAGGGCCTAGATCCCACTGGCTCCCTGCTGTGGACCCACACCAGCAGGTGCCCTTGAGTGAGCAGGTGCGAACAGGCTGCTGTGGCCACAGGCGGGGGACTATGGGGGAGGCTGGACCCTGGGGAGGCAGCTGGGCCAGAGAGGGAAACAGGATGGAGGGAAGGAGCGGAAGGCCGGGTGTCTGGAAGGCAGAATCGATCGCAGGTCTTAGAGATGCTTGTTGGTGTGAGGTGAGGGGCCAGGAGGCTCAGAGGTTACCAGGCACCGAGCTCCAAGCACAGCTGTTCGTGTCGGGGGCGGGGGCGGGGGCGTTTCTAGAATTTCCTGGGTCTCTGGATCAGCCCTCTGCCAATGGGCCTCTGACTCCCTCCTTCCCAAAGAAAATCAATTCTCAGAGGTTTTGAGAGTAAGTGCTTCCCCTATTACACCTCCAGTGGGGCTGCTTTGTTCTCTCCAGCGGGCCCTCCCTGGGGAGGCCAGGGGCGGGCAGAGGCCCAGGGGACCCTGCTGGGGGTCCGGCGGGGTGGCTCCTGCTGGAGTTCCCTGGGAGTCAGAGGGCAGGGGCTGCCTTCTGTCCTGGCCTGGGAAGGACCTTGGGGCCTGAGGACTTCCAGGGACATGGGGCCACTAAGCACAAAGGCCGCAAACACAGCCCATCTTCCCGGAGCCTCAGTGAAACAGAAGGCTTGGGGCAGAAGTGGGAGGAGGTGACTCCCTGTAGAAAGTGCTGCGGGTGTACTATGGGATGGAATTGAGACACTGCCAGTGGGGTGCGGTGTTTACGCTGAGCAGCTCCAGGCCTCCCCCAGGAGCCCAGGCTACACTGGGCAAGTCTGACACTCACGGCCCGGTCCAGCCCCTCCGTGGGCCCAGCCCCTCTGTGGGCCCAAGGGGCTGCTTGGGCCGCCTGCAGGCCGGGCTCCACACGGTGCTAGGGTCCGAGGACGGGAATCCAGGTGACTGCCCCGCCCCGCTTCCACCTCCCATCAGCTGGGATCGGCCGCCCTTGGCCCTGGAGCTCGGCTCCATGCAGGCCGGTCTCAGTGGTGATCAGAAAGATGGACGGGCCCGAGGGGCACCGGCACGGCAGGCCTCAGTAGCCTTGGGATCCCATTCCTGGCCCCGTCCCCACCTTGGGGTGAGTCTCCTGACTGGTCAGAAGACAGGACAGCCTGGGAGAAGCTGAGGTCTCTGGAATAACGCACGTTGGTTTAAGGACTGGAGGCAAAGTGAGGCCTGGGCCTGACCATGTCTCCAGCTCTCCGCGGCCGCAGCATGTTTTAACCAGCTGGTCACAAGGAGTGCCGGGCCCAGGGTCGCTGAGCTCAGCGTGGAATTAATCCCATGTCCCGACGTGTTGGTTGCTGTGATAATGCCCGTGATGTCTTATCTCCCTCTCACTGCTGAGGCTGCTCTGGGCAGAGGTTAGATCTCAGAGATTCTCTCCTGCAGCCCTTGCCTTATGGACAGGAAAGTGGGCACCCCCCTGGGCGGGAGGGACTGGCCCCGGCCCGGCTGTGGCGAGCGGATGCTGACACCCACTGGCCGGCACAGGGATTGGGGTCTGATTCCCAGCAGCTCTGGAGCTTGGGTACCTGCTGCTGCCCCTGCAGCCCTGTGGGTGCACATGGTCAGGGCGGAGGGTGCAGCTCGCTGGAAGAACTCAGGGTCCAGACAGGGAAACAGACAAGCAGACAGGCCTCAGGGCAGCGGGGAACTTCTAGAGAGCAAACAGGACTCCAGCTGCTCATGGGGGGCCCGTGCTCGCATCCTGAGTCGGCCACCTGTCAGCTGAGTGATTTCAGACCGGAATGTATCCCCTCCGAGCCTCCTCCTGGCCCTCTGGTCATCTTCGAGATGGACGTAGTGACGTAATCTGTCCAGGTTTTCCAAGGAATCAAAAAGATGGAAGGACCTAGACGTGGCCAGTACGTATGAGACCCTTCGTAACCAGTGAGACGCAGATACAGTAAAGCTAACATAGGCTGTGGACAGGCCGGAATACTGTGGACCGCCCAGGGCAGGTGGCTCGTGGGAAGACTGGCTGGCACTCGCAGCTCCAGACCTGGGCTACTGCTGGGTGTCCCCGAGGGAGCCCCAGTCTCCTCCTGGTCCCCTGGGGCATGCTGCTCCGGGGAAAGGGAGAGGATACACCGGAGGGTGTCCTGGGCGCTGCACCCACACTGGCGGGGGACACCGTGTGGGCTGGATACCTCTGCACGTGGAGGGGCCTGTCACTGACAGCTGTCTTCTTGTCCTCCCAGGTCATCGGACTTCGGGACGTCCTACACCAAGCTTACCCTTCAGCCTGGCGTCACTACGGTCATCGACAACTTTTACATCTGCCCGACCAACAAGAGAAAGGTAGGCTCTGCACAGCGGGAGCCGCTGCCGCCTTGCTTCTCCAGGATCCTGACAGCGGGGCGGAGGTGTTTACCTCCCAGCTCTCTGCGTCACCCTTCCCGCTTCCGCCTTAATTCATTTGGATGAATTAAGTTTTAAAGCAGCAGCTGGGCCTTGGGAGAAAGTTTGTCCTGGTGCGTTTGTTTTCCCCTGCCCTGGGCCAGCATCCATCCAGGCAGAGCGGGGTAGGGGCAGGGGTGGCCTCTCTGGAGGGGAGAAAGAATGTCTCTTTTTGCTTTGGCGTCCTTGGAAAGCAGTGAAGAGCAGTCCCGATCTCCTGCAGGGTTTTTTATCTGTTGATTTGGTTTTGATTTGGCTTCGGTGTCTCATCTGAGCTTTACTTTCTGTTTTCTTGGTTTGGGCGTGTCTTCTGACTCTGCTGTCTGCCTGACTGTGGGTCAGGGAGCTTTGTCATTTCCAGGCTACGGCCACCTCCACCAGGTTCCATGAGAAGACCCTTTTGCAAAGCCATGGTTGCCTCCTAGCAACCTCGGGACCCCAGACTGAGGTCAGAGGAAGCACCCAGGGCAGAGCCGTCCTGTGCACTTGACTCCATGCAGGAAAGTAGGCAAGAGAGGAGCTTGGACAGATCAGGTTCCTCCTGGGAAATGGGATGTCACCCCAGAGAACTGTGACATTGGGGATTAGAACCCAGAGCCCAGCCCACGGGCACCGATAGATGCTCTGACGCAACGTAGAGCCCGGAAAACCTCTGTAGACTGATGAGCGTCCCGGGAAGAGAGTCATCGTTGCCAGATGGCTGGATGCGGGGGGCACTGGGGGATTTGCCGGGCACGCTGACGGCACATTATTGGCCTCAGAGGAGTCGGTGTGTGCGTGAACTTGGCAGGTTCTGCAGGGACCAAGGCCCCATCGTAGAGTTTTCGGAACGTGAGGACTGATGTGCATTGCCATTCCCTGGGAGCTGTCTAGGGAATCTTGATGGCACTTTTTAATGGGATGTCAGCTTTCTAAAGCAGGTCCCCGCTCTGCCAACACCCTTCCTTGACTTTTACTGCTGGAAAAGCCTCCTGATGGACAGAATTGGAATGCAGAGGTGGGGAGGGCTGCTGGAGAGGGGGGAACTTCACAGGGACACTGGTGCCTGCCCGGAGGGGACTCGGGACTGAACCGAGAGAGGCAGGGGTTTGGTTTTGCCGGTGCCCGGGTCTCCCTGGGCCCTGCTCGGGGACTTCACGTGCACGATCTCACTCTGTCCCACGGGGGCCGAGGAAGGAGGTGTTATTATCCCATTTTCCAGGGCAGAAAACTGAGGCATAGGAAGGTGAGACATAGCACTTAATCACACGGCTGGTGGTGGGAGGCCTGGATTTGACCCCAGCCTCATGTGGGTCCAGAGCTGAGGGGTTTTCTTGTGCAGGAGTGAGAGCAAGTACGGGGGAATGACCCCCCAACTACCACCCCACCCCGACTCCCCACAACTCAGCCCACGTGCTCCCCGAGCTGTCCCCGGCCTGTGTCTGGTCGGCCCCAGCCTGGGCTGGTGAGGGCTCAGCGCCTGGATGCAGCCCTTGCTCTGCTGGGAGCTCAGCGCTTTTCCTGCGTGCCCTCCCCACCCTCTGAGCCACAGGGTTCTCTTGGGGGGCTGGGGGGGTGGGTCAGCAAGGGAAATGCCCAGGCAGCACCCTAGCCCAGGCCTGGGTGCAGCAGCATGTGCACAGCACAGAGACCTTCGTTGGCCAGGAGAGCTGAGTGCTTGGAAGGGGCAAGGACAGACATCCTGCTTCCCTGCCCATTGTCATCTCTCTCCCTGGGGCCACTGTGATTTGGATGCGAGACAAGGGAGGGCTGCCGCGGGCTGGTGCTGACCCAAGCCAGAGGCACCCCCATCACCCCCAAACTCCAGCCAGCAGTGGACACGGGAGGCCATGCCGCGCATCTCCTGCACGTCCTCCAATTTCTGTCTGTCTAGCCAGCCCGGTCCTGGAAGCTTCCTCCAAGCTGACCCTGCCGTCCCTCACCAGCTGGGAGGACCCACAGGTGCCCAGATGTGACGGTGGCTCCAGGGCCGGCCCCAAACGCCATGTCCTCCTTTGGAAACTAGAAAGGCAGAGGCCACAGTGGCAGTCACAGAACGGGGAGTCTCTGAGGCGTGAGGTCAGGGAAGGCTGCCAGGCTGCCAGCAGTGAGGCCAGACAGACCCTGGTCCTGCGCAAAGCAGCCGCTGCTGAGCCTGTGTCCTGCTGTAAAGGGGGTGACTGGGGGTTAATGAGATGATGGGCGGGGGCTCAGCAAAGGGGCTTCTAGGTCACGTAGGGCATCCCGGCAGGCAAAGGGCACCAGGAGTGAAGCATCAATTCTGGCTACCTGGGGGCTCGGGGCCTATGGAGAGCTGGGGGCTCTGATTGGGGTGCTCAGCAGAACCTCCTCTGCAGACAACATCGGGATAGGCATGCAGGCAAGGAGACGTGTGCATCTTTAAAAAACGATAGGACATGATCGGCGATGCCTGTGAGAGGTTATTTTGATCATTTGGACATTTAGCCTGGAAATATCGCTGGGGATAGAGGCTGGGTCTGGTCGGCCTCTGTGCCCAGCACAAGCAGTCAGCCAATGTTAAAGGATGAATGCATGCGTGAATGAATGAATGAGCGAGTGCCACAAGCCGCAGCCGGTCCCGCTGAATGGATGCTATTGCCGAGTCGCCCACCTGATCCGCAGACTCCCCCTGCACCTGGATGGGGCCTGGAGGCGTGGAGCCCGAGGCTCCTTCCTGGGGTTGCGTGGGGCGCCCTGCATTTGTAGGGTGGTCTGGGGGACAGCACCCAGGCCGGGGAGCCCTGTCCTCAGTCCAGTTCTGCCATGACCCTCCAGTGAGGGGACATCAGGGAGGTCCCAAGGTGTCTCAGCTCTTAACGGGGGCAATGATGGAGGGGAGATTGACAGGTGAGTGCTGAAAGAACCTCACTCATTACTCTGCCACTTAAGATATCTGCTGAATCACGGCTCCCAAGTGTGTCCCCTTTCCAATCTCTGGCACCTGTGAATGTCACCTTATGTTTTAAATGCATGTAGGAGCAGAAAAGCCACAGTCCCTGTCACAGAAAAAGCTGATGTGAGACCATGTCAAGTAAAGAACCGGAAGCCCCGGGGGCTGGTGAAGGTAGAGGGGAGATTTGGGGGCCACGGGCTGGTCTTCCAACTTCTGAAGGGCGGGCCTAGGGATCAGGAAGCAGTCCGGGCAGACTGCTTGGTGGAAACTGGATTTTACTCAGGTCCATCTCCTCAACTGTGCACAGCCCATAGCACTCAGCCAACACTCAGGAAATACGGGTGCAACGGGCTGGACTGGAGATGGGGTGGGACCCCTTCGGGGAAAGAGATTTCCATTTAATAAAAGGAAAAATTTCCCCCTGTCATTGCATTCATTTATTCGTTCATCTGTAGCTTCTCAATTCCTAAGCCACCCACTGGCGATCATTCTCAGTATGCCAGGCCCTAGGCCAGAACCAGATGTCAATCATAGTCATTTATTTGTGCGGAGGTGGGGCATGACTGGGGGGTTTACATCATCATCTGCATTGCCCAGATGAGAAAACAGAGGCTCGGGGGAAGCTGGGAGAACAGTCCAGGTCACCCAGCTGGTAGGTAGCAAAGCTGTCACCAGTGCATTAAACATATTGTGTCTCTGTACTTGGAATTGAGCAAGGATTTAAATCCAGTTCTGCTAGATGCCAGAGCACCCTCTGTCATACCTGTGAGCTCACCAGGCACCCTGGGGCAAAGTTCCAGGGAGCAGATGGGGTTCCCCACGTCTGTGCAAGCCCAGCGCAGCCTGCTGTGCTGGAAGTGGGGAGTGTGTAACCCGCTGTGGCTGGACAGGGCTCGATCTGACCACAGCTGAGCTGTGTGACTCAGGGCAGATCCTGTTTCTTCTCCAGACCTCAGTGTCACCCTCCATAAGATCAGGAGGTTGAACTGGGAGTTCTCCAAAGCCCCTTCCATCTCCAGCATTCTGGAGTCTCCTGGTCTCCCAGGGGAAGAGCAGCAGCTGGGGAATGAGATGCACGTGGGCAGAGCCCAGACTCTGCTCTGTTGACCACGTGTCTTGGCTTCTCCTCTGCAAGAGGGCAGGTTTCACCCGATGTCCAAGCTCTGTCTCAATCCGACCCCCATCCATTCAGCAGATGTGGGTCAAGGTCCTACTGTGTGCCAGGCTGCATGCTTGGTGCTGGAGGGTGAGAACCCTCGGTCCAATCTTGTAAATATCAGTTGCACATTAAGCACCTACTATGTGCTGGGGTCCTTTGCTGGGCGCTGGGATGTGAAGGTGAACTGGACAAGCAACTTGATCCTTCTTGAACCTTTGAGGCTCTGGTGGAGGCCTGGGAAACCGAACCCCTCCTGCTGCTTTTTTGTGGGAGGAACAAGAAAAGGGGCCAAAGTCGGCCTCTAGCGGGACAGGTTTACCCCAGAGTGAGTGTGATCTGGGAAAAGCTGGGGTTCTTCATTTGCAGGGGCACCTGCTTCAGCATGAGCGGGGGGTCTACCTCTCCGGTTATCGGTAATGGATAGGTTTTGCAGGAAGATGTGAATGCTATTAGGAGTCCATTCAACAACAATTACAGGCTAAGCAGTATTTTATAGCTTCGTAAGAGACCACTTTGCAACCTGTCTTACAAAATGAATTCCCTTCTATTTTTGTCTTGCCTGTAGTATAATCAGAGCTCCCGCCTTGATGCCCATGGGCGAGGCATTCTACCATTGTCACGGCATGACCTGAGACCCTGGGGGCCCTGAGGATCCCTCAGCATCCCCCACGTGCCTTCCGTGCTGTCTGAGTACCCGATTTGGCTTTGGACTACCAGCACATTTCTGACTCAGCACGAGAACCCCCATGGCACGGGGAGAGGGTGTGCGGGTACAGCCCGGGGGAGCTGGCCGCGGCATGGAATTGCTTTCAAGTGTCATGTGAATCTCCACTTTTCTTCATGATATCC